TAATTAAAGTTGTTGTCGTGCCTAATTAGAAACAGCAGCAATGCTATATTTAAAGTTGGTTGTCGTACTATATAGAACAGCCAAGCAATGCTATATTAAAGTTTGTTGTTCGTCTTATATAGAAACAGCAGCAATTGCTATATTAAAGTGTTGTCGTGCTATATATATAGAAACAGCAGCAATGCTATATTAAAGTTGTTGTTCGCTCTATATAGAAACAGCAGCCAATGCTATATTAAATGTTGTTGTCGCTTATAGAAAAAGCAGCCAATGCTATAATTAAAGTTGTTTCGTGCTATATGAGAAACAGCAGCCAATCCTTATATTTAAAGTTGTTGTTCCGTGACTTATATAGAAACAGCAGCAATTTGCCTATATTAAATTTTGTTGTCGCTGCATATATAGAAACAGCAGCAATGCTATATTAAAGTTGTTGTGTGTATATAGAAAACAGCAGCAATGCTATATTAAAGTGTTGTCGTGTCCTACCTATGAACAGCAGCAATGCCTATATAAAAGTTGTGTCGTGCTATATAGAAACAGCAGCAATGCTATATTAAAGCTTTGTTGCGTGCTATATAGAAACCAGGCAGCAATGCCTATAGTTAAGTTGTTGTCGGCTCTATATTAGAAACAGCCAGCCCAGTGCTATATTAAAGTTGGTTGTCGTCTTATATAGAAACAGCCAGCAATGCTATATTAAAGTTGATTGTCGTGCCTATCATGAAACACAGCAATGCTATATTAAAGATTGTTGCCTATAAGAAACAGCGAATGCAATGCTATATTAAAAGTTGTTGTCGTACTATATAGAAACACGGCAGCAATGCTATATTAAAGTTGTTAGTCCGCCTTATATAGAACAAGCCAGCCAATGCTATATGATAAGTTGTTGTCGTGCTATAAGAAACAGCCACAATGCTATATAGTTAAAGTTGGTTGTCGTTAGCTATATAGAGAAACAGCAGCAATGCATATATATAAAGTTGTTGTCGTGCTATATAGAAACAGCAGCAATGCTATATTAAAGTTGTTGTCATGCTATACTGAAATAGCAGTCACGCTATGTTGAGGCAGCAGTAATGTTATATAAACGTTATTGTCATGCTATACTGAAATAGCAGTCATGCTATGTTGAGGCAGCAGCAATGTTATATAAACGTTATTGTCATGCTATACTGAAATAGCAGTCATGCTATGTTGATGCAGCAGTAAAGCTGTGTGCGAGCATGGGTGGGTGAAGATCATCCGCAATGCTCGGCGTACATGCGATGTTTGTCGTACCGTGATTCGCGGATCGTCAAGCGATTACCGGAAGTATCCACGTCGTCTCGATGCTGCGTTACAGTATTCCATGTTAGTGTTATTCCGTGATGCGCAGTCGACTATCTACTATAAGCTAATAGGAATGATATGAACATGTACTCTTTCATTTTCGTGGTTTCGTCGTGACACTGATGATGACGTGGTTTCGTCGTGACACTGATGAAACCGCGTGCATAGTGATGCACAGTAAACTATCTACTATCGAAATATATGGGCGAAATGAACAGTGTGAACATGTACTCTTTCGTTCTCGTGGTTCCATCATTCCACTAACCCCCGCTCAGCGTCGGTGCAGTTGTGCACTATTGGAACAATATGAACATGTGTCATTAATTTATGTACTTTCGCTTTCGTCGTAACGCCGTTGACTAACCCTTGCTTCTGCGTTATAACGTTAGAAACGTTTAGTACTGTTTCATTCTCATGCTTCCATCGTCTCACCGACTATCCCCTCCCCCGACATGTGTTATTGGATGTGCCGCCATCAGGACGTTGAAACAGTTAGGAACCTGTATTCTTATGTACTCCCACTTCCATCGTATTGAACGATACGAACATATGAACATCTAGTACTCTTTCATTCTCGTGGTTCCATCGTAATGTCCAACTAACCCCTTGCACCGCCTTATTGTGTTAGAACAATGGGAACATGTATTCTCATGTACTCTCGCTTCCTTCACATTTTATTGAACGATATGAACGATATGAACATCTAGTACTCTTTCATTATCCCGTTTACATCATAAAGACTCGACTAACCCCCTGCACTGCCTTGTTGCGTTAGAACAATGGGAATATGTATTGTTATGTACTCCCCCTTCGCATTTTATTGAACGATAAGAACACCTAGTACTCTCTCATTCTACCGCTTACATCGTAAAGCCTCAGACTAACCCCTGCATCACCTCGTAGCAGATGTGCCTCCATCGGAGCGTTAGAACAATGGAAACATGTATCATTACGTGCTCCCACTTCCAACGTATCGAACATTATGAACAAATTACAATATGACCGTACTTTGACTCTCGTGGTTTCATCGTAATGCCGACTAACCCTCTCGTCGCCTCGCATCATTGCAGATGTGCCGCCGTTGGAGCAATAGAACAATGGGAACATGTATTCTTATGTACTCCTGTTTCCATCGTATATTGAACGATATGAACAGTATGAATGTAGTTTCATTCTCGAGGATCCATCGTGAAGACTCGACTAACCCCCGCGTCGCGTCGTTGCAGATGAGCCGCCGTCTGTGCGTTAGAACAATTGAAACGTATTCTTATGTACTCCCTCCTGTTTACATCATGAAGTCTCAGACTAACCCCCGCCTCGCGTCGTTGCAGATGTGCCGCCGTCGGAGCGTTTGAACAATTGAAACATGTATTCTTATGTACTGCCTCCTGCTTACATCGTGAAGTCTCAGACTAACACCCGCCTCGCGTCGTTGCAGATGTGCCGCCGTCGGACGCAGCGCCGACCTGTTTGCGAAGAAGCTGCAGCAGTGCTGCATGGTGTTCGGACTTCATGGACCCGGTCGGCCGACCTGAAGAGCAAGGAGGTGAAGCGCGCCTGCCTCACGAGCTCGTCGACTACATCACGCGCCAACCGCGGCGTGCTCACCGAGCCGCTCTACCGGAGGTCGTGCGATGGTAGGTGGCGCCCGGAGTCGTGCGCATAGTAGGTGGCGGGTCGTCGTCGCAAGGGGTGAGATGGCGTGTCACAGTGGTGGATAGGTTGCAGTAGTGATAAGGGGTCGCGAGGGAGCGCCAGCGCGACTTATGAGGGGCATGGCAGCGGGTCCTAACAGCGAGGGGTGAGGTGGTCGCGGTGGTGGTAAGGGGCGCGACTGCTGTGTCTGGCAGTGGTTGTGCACCAAACAGCAGCCGCGACGACAACGACAGTGACAACAACAAAACAGCAGCAATAACAGCAGCGCACAATACTTAACGTCGTGAACGGCATGTTTTTGTCAACAGTTAGATATAAGAATGCCTTAATTATATTAAATGTTAATAATAATAACAACACAACAACAACATAATAATAATAGTATATAAATACAAGGGCTTGAATCGCGAGCGTGGCGTGCACGGCTTAACCAGCTGTCGATCCAGCGGTCGTATTGTCACGTCGTTGCAGGTCTCACACAACATGTTTCGAACATTGCCACCTAGTGAAAACCCGGAGTATGATCCAGAGGAGGACGATCCAACGTTGAGGCTTCTTGGCCGCACATGCAGGTAACAACGCAGTCGCGACACCATGCAACATCGTGCAACAGTTATGGCAAATGTTGTGCAACAAGTGTGCAACAAACATGACATTCAACGAATGCACGGCGTTGTTCAAACAGCGTGCCACAGACGAATGGTATTTTCAACGTATCGGCAACAAGTGCACGATCTACCGCTCTGAATTTACCATCTATGTTGTTTGTCGTATGCACGGATTACAGATTTACTGCAACGCTGTCATTTTAAGCTCTATTCATCAACTGTGCAACAAATTACCTGCACGAAAATCGGAGCTCTGAAACGCGCAACTGCCTACTATTACCTAATTCTTCGTAAATCACTGTACCGTCTCCCGGGTTACTGACAAATTTTGGAATGTTAATAAACATTTCTCCCTCCGTCGTTCTTCTGTCAGTGTGTTTTTCAGCACACGCACGTGTGTGTGGATTCAAGCATGTCTCCTGAATGCATGACTCGAGCGAGGAGACTTGCTTCATCCGTGCAGAGGGTTATCATTCTCAGTCCTTGTGTTTTGGAAAAAAGCAGGCGAGGTGAAAAATCGCACACCTTTGGCTCGCCGAGGTGTGTGATTTGCATCGGAGTGCCGCCAGGTCCACGAGCAAACTAGGGGTGTTCGGTGCTATGCCCCCGCCCCGGAAAAATTTGAAACTAACTCAATGAAATGCCATTTCCAAGCATTTTGGGCTAAAAATTAGCTCTGCCATTGTACTATTAATTTTTGACATTTTTTAGGTGATTTTTTTTCCATCTAACAAAATATCAGTTCTTGGACATGTGGGATAACTTGAATCACACATTTAGCATGTTTAGTCAAAAAGAACAACACTCAATTTTTCAAAGTAGACTATTAAAACTTTATCTAAAAATACAACCAATCACATTCGTCATTCTAGAGCGCTTTGCGACTGTCGTTATAAACATGTAAACCGACTTCCGGCAATGTCTGTGATGTTTACAACCATTTGCGTTTATCTTCGAGTTTATAAGTTGAATTAATGAAAAATAAAACACAAATAAAAAGGGAAAAAAAGGTGTGCGTTTTGATAATGCTTAGGTGCGCGTTTTTTCGCACTTCTCGTAATCAATCGAGGCGCGCGATGGCGCGCGAGCGCGATCGCGCACCTTAAAACACAAGGTCTGCATTCTTATGATGGAATTCTTGACCCTATATGTAGAGATTTGTGTCCCTGCAGAGAACTATCATACTTAGATTGGAACATATGTGCAGATATTTGCATCTCTGCCGAGTGCCACCATAAAGGAAACAATGTTTAATTCATATTCTCTATGTCACTTGTCATATTGCATTGTTATTGATCTGCCAATGTTCGCATTCTTTGTATGTTACTGACTGTATATATGTACATTGTTTTGATGGAATAGCCTCGAATTAAACCATTCTTTCTACCTTTCTTTTTGCAGATAGTGTATGAGTTTTTCTTGAGGTTTCTTGAATCACCAGACTTCCAACCTAGCATAGGAAAGAAATATATCGATCAGAAATTTGTACTGCAGGTGAGTTTGTCTACATTATCTCCATCAAATTCCAATTCGTAGTAAAATTTTCTGTCTTGCCTATAATTCATATTCAACTATATAAAACCATTGTAATTCAGTTAGTCTTGAGCATTTTGTAATCACTTTCCAGTTTCTATATTACTGCTTGCTATTTCATCATTACTAATAGTAGCGAGTAACTAATGAGATAATACTATCGAGTGAGTAATAGAGGTGATCAATCAGTTAATCTTGCATTAGCCTAGCTTTTAGTGGTAATTAAATTTATCTTGGGTTAATCGTTTAGTCTTGCATTAATCCAGATTTAAGTGGTAATTCTGTTAATATTGGGTTAATCTAGCATTAGGTGGTAGTTAATTTAATCTTCTATTGCTCACGTTATCTTGCATTAATCACATATAAAGTTGCAACGAATTTAATCTTATGTGAAACTACACTTCCTATTTACTCCGTTATTGCTCTTTCTCTGTTATTGCCCCTCTCCCTATCTAATTTTGGAAGGGGGTTATGTCAATATGCTAACAAAACTACACTTTCCATTCACTCTTCACTGTATACTCGTTGTTATTTTTATCCATCTCTCCATCTTCACTTCCTCCCTTCCTCTCTTTCTTCCATATCCTCCCCTCCCTCCTCTCCCTCTCCTCCCCTTCCTCCTCCCCTCCCTCCTCCCCTCATGCTGGAACTCTCTGTTACAGTTGCTGGAGCTGTTTGACAGCGAGGACCCACGAGAGCTTCTTCCCTTCCTCCCTCTCCTCCCCTCCCTCTCCTCCCCTCCCTCTCCTCCTCTCCCTCTCCTCCCCTCCTTCCTCCCCTCATGCTGGAACTCTCTGTGTTACAGTTGCTGGAGCTGTTTGACAGCGAGGACCCACGAGAGCTTCTTCCCTTCCTCCCTCTCCTCCCCTCCCTCTCCTCCCCTCATGCTGAAACTCTGTGTTACAGTTGCTGGAGCTGTTTGACAGCGAGGACCCACGAGAGCGGGACTTCCTCAAGACGGTCCTGCATCGGATATACGGCAAGTTCCTCGGTCTACGAGCGTACATCCGTAAACAGATCAATAACATATTTTTGAGGTGCGTACCGTCCGACTTTGGGGTGTTGACTTGCGGCATTGTCTAGCGGAATCGTTCAGTGGGGTGCGCGCGCGCGCGAACCGCGAGTCTGTGTGTTGTAACTGGGTGGCGCGTCGTGGGGTGTTACCGGATGTCACTCGGCCGCCATGTTGGTCGATTGGAAGTGGAGTCGTGCTCGAGGGGTGGGTGGGGGGTCGTTACGATGAGGAGGTGCGACATCGTTACGATGCGAATCGTTGTGATAAGTTTAATTTCGATTCTTCGTTGAATGATGTGGCCTTGTGATAGTGACCTTGTCTGAAAGCATCACTGTGAGAGGTGATGGCCGGTGGGCTGTCCAGTTCACATATATATATATATATATATATATATATATATATACATATCAATTGCGCAGTCTCTACAACTTTTGCTTGTTTGCGGATACTTAAAGGAAAGATTGTGCATATGGCGCTCTAGTGGCTGGCGTTAGTCAACCCCTCGGCTCGCTTTCTGCGTTAATACTTGTATTTATTCTTCGCTAAAAGATTTATACGTGAGACTCTGTATTAATAATGCATCTGAACGTCTAACGTTCGAAGCTCGCGTGTCAGTCAATTTCTTCGTGTCTCTCGGAGATTTATGTTTACGAGATTCTGTATTAATGCCTGTTTTTATTTCCCCTCTTTGAAGATTTATATACGAGACGGAGCATTTTAACGGCGTTGGGGAGCTGTTGGAGATATTAGGAAGGTGAGTGTGTTGTTAAGTCGTCGTTATCTTCACGTGTTGTCACTACCTAGGGTAGTGTGAATCATGTCTTCACTTCGATGCACGTCTCTAGATGTGCGTGCGTGCGTGCGTGTGTGTGTGTGTGTGTGTGTGTGTGTGGCACAGACACAGGCATGAGCACGCACACACAGTCACACACACACACACCCACACCTCGCCTGAAATTTAATTCCAGCCTTAACAACTGCTGTTCTCAGTTTAAGCGCAGTAACGCAGTAATGCAGTGATGGAATACTCATTTTTCTGAGCCATGGGCAAATATTAATTACGTTCCGGTTGTAAAATAAACGCTCGTGGGGATTGATGGGTTATTAGCCGCGTGTGCCGCATGGCATTGTCGCACCTGTGTGGGGAGATGCATAATTTATGCGCTGCCGTGTGAATTCTGCAGGTGCGTTCATATGTTTAATGACAGTTGTGCAACGGGCGTGCGATATTGAATTTCGTAATGTTGGTATTTTTGACTACAAACAGAAAGAATTGGGAGCGGAAAATCTCAGGATTGGTATCGAGTAGTAGGCCTACAAAATTAAAAAGATATACAATTATTATATATAATATCAGGATAATATAGATATATATACAGTATAAATGTTATACAATTATATAAAATTATATAAGAAAAAAAAATGGGCAAAAATATACGTGAAAGTAAGGGAAAAAATTAAAAATCGCTTCTAAAAGTCTTCAACCACAGGCTTTGTAAAAGACACGCACTGGTTCTGAAAAGCGCGTTGATTTAAAAAAAGTTGGAACATAAAACTATCTCAGGTATCTGTCCTTCACTAGATATCACAACTTCCTATCGCTCTCCTATCTTCAACTACCGGCTTTGTAAAAGACGCTGGCTCTGAAAGCGCGTCCGTTTAAAAGAAATTCCGTCCGACCTCTGGCTCGGCAGACATTCCGTCTAGACGCTTGGCAAACAGACGCAGACGTGCGGTGGCAGCGGCGGCGGTTGGGTGCTATGCGACGTAAAGTCGGCGGAACTGCAGATATGCGCGTATCCGTATCCGACGATATCGCTCGCCGCCTCGCTCTATGCAATTAATAATCTCGAGCTAGAAGGGCGCGGTGACAGCTCAGGTGTCGCAGTAGGCACTATATCCCCCCCCCCCTCCCGGTGCTTAAATTACCCGTAATGCTCTGCACCAGGAGAGACGAGTCGGAATTTATTTCTGCTCCTGTTACGCTTGCTCCATTTTATCACATCAATCTCAAATCGTAATCAATCCAATGGCGAGAGTCATTGAATCTAGGGTTTTGATAGCCAAAGCACGTGAACAGTGTTCCTGCTACACCCAACCCAACATGGACTGCCTAATTAAGGTAGTGTCCAGTCCCTACCATTAAAAGGCTAGTGATATCTGTTTGCATTGCTTCTTATGCACCACCAGCCTAACTTCGCAAGTATTCAGCAATATATATTTGTTTACTCGGCATTCTATTCACTTATTTCTGACCTTTAAAACAAGTCCAAGATCGCTATTAGTGTCCTTATCGTAATCCTATGCATCGATATTATTTATTAATATTTACTAGTTATGATTTCTGATAATATAAAAAAAATCTTCACAAAAAAGTAATGTTAATAAAATAAAATAAAATCTAGTACCGTTTTGTTCACTCGTAGCACCCTCAAGCGACCGCGAAGAACCGTTTCCAGGTTTCTTTTCACATTTCCATGTTTTTTTGTCCTTTCCGGCGCAAAGCATTATGGGGTGGTATTAGTAAGTACCGGGAGTCATTACGTAGTGACCACCGCGTGTCATGCGACCTGCAGGCATGCGACCTGCAGGCATGAGAATTTTCCGCGGATTCACAGATTTCTGGGTTTTGGTTTTCATTTTGGTCATTCTTGAGATCGATGCAAAAAACCTAATAAAAATTTGAGGGGGGAGTAAGGTGTACTTTTCTTGTCAAAATGGACAGAACTATTTGAATAGCTGTAATAATAACAAACAAAAATCAAAGCAGGGAATGCTTGTGAAAATACCCATTTTATAATGTAGGTACTTGTTTATATGTAATGTGTCATTTGGCATACTTTGATTTAACCTCGACATAAAATATTGACATTCTCATAGAAAATGGCAA